TCAGTTAGTCAGTTCAGTTCAGTATTTCAGTTAAATTTTCAGTTCAGTTATGATCAATCATGTTCAGTCATGATTAGTCATGTGCAGTCAGTTCAGTTCAGTTTAGCAGTACCAGTTCAGTCCAGCTTTTCTTATCAGTTAAGTTAGACCCCGAAGTGGTTCCAGTTAACTATTCAGATCGAGTCGAGCATCTTAACAGCTATTTTAATCAGTCTGAGCATAGTACTTAGTATTTGTTTATATATGTCAGTTTTGCAGGCAATCAGCACTTACATTTTCAGATATGCTGTTCAGGTGGGGACTCAGACTAAGTACTACATTGATTATAATTACGCTACCATGGTTGAGGTATGTATTATCAGTATCCGCTCGGAATGGTCGCCGGTCCATTCTGGGTTCTAGTGGCCTTAATCTGCCCACTAGAGTGTGCACATGGTGTCCGGCTATGCCGGCAGATGTTCAGTTATCAGTCAGGTGATTTATATCACGAGACCAGTATCAGATTATTCAGCACCAGTATCAGTTATCAGTTTCAGTTTCAGTTCAGTTATATATGCCAGGATCATGATATTGTTATTATTTTCACTGTTTACTTTAGTATGAGTTTCTGCGGAGCACAGTGGATTAATGCTCACGCCCCCACGTTATTCATGTTTTTCAGGTCACAGAGTCGGAGCCGAGGAGTGAGCGGGCGACCGGTTCACGACATTTTGTTTATGTGTGTATATTATGTTTGGCTACGCTATGATTCCGCTACTGTTTTCAGTACTCTAAATCAGCTTTTGACCCGACGTTAGTCGGTTAAGAGATTATAAAATCGTTTTATTATCAGATTAAAAATTAACGGTTTTCAGAAATAAGTCAGATTTTACGGTAACACTTCGAATCAGTATTTCGCAAAATAAATATTTTTATTTAGAAAATTTTGCGAAAAGCGCGCTCTGATTTTCATGAAATAGCGGGGTGTTACATTAAGTACGCGTTAATTTCGTTATTACAAATCGAATAACAACATATATATATTAAAATTCTAAAATTAAATAAATTTAACATAAAAAGACATTAGTGATATTCGATGAAAAAATGATATTTGTCACATTAATGACGCTTCTTGAAACTTTTCCACAATGTCTCGATAATAACATAATTTTCATAATTTTTGAATAAATAAAGACATTACAACTACAGAAAAGATAAATTGATATAAATTAATTCTTGTAAACATGCACAAATACGTGTAAATTAAAATAAATGAAAATTAAATACTTCAGAAAAAAATACAAATTTGAATTAATTTCAAACCACATGCGTTTAGTTAAATGAAGTCCACATATTTTTTTTGCTTTTTTTTAATTCAAATGAATAAATTTAATAGTTTATTTTTTTTTTGCAAAATAAGTAATGTGGTAAGCAGAATGACATGCAAGATGAATCACGTTTTTTAAAGTTACAAATAGGCACAATAGTCTTTAATGTTCATGTCAATATCAAATTTCTTCTTGATTTCAGTCCATATTCACGAAGGAGGGCTTTCTTTAATGTTCCTATCACAATTAGAATTCTCTCGAAGGAGGGCTTTCTCTCTCATAGGAGAGTTTTCTAATTCTCTCGCAGGAGGGCTAACTTGTTTTTGTTTCTTCTTGATTTCAGTCCATATTCACTACCCGATTTCTTTTTCTTGTCCATATTGTGGGTGAATCTTTTTGTTCTCAATAGGAAGTAATATAAAGGGGTGGGTCGAAATGACAAACCCCAATTCCTCTATGTCGGCGGAGGAGGTCGAGAACAGATTGAGGGCTTTTACTCTATCAGATGTGGAGATCAAAGTAATTGACATTAGAGCGGAGGATGTTCGAGCTAGCAAGAATGAATGTGAGAGAAGTTTGTTTGGAAAGATAGTTGGGGATAAACGGGCAACTCTGGTGGGAATAAAGAAGGCGATGGGGCTGATTTGGCGTATCCAGGGGCAATGGAGGTTCGAGAGTTAGGGGCTAACTATTTCCAATTCATTTTCGATCGTATCGACGACAAGGAAAAGTGGCAAAGGGGATAAATTGGATATTTGAGAATCAATTCCTAATTTTGCAAGAATGGAAAGAGGGGATGTGTGTCAACCATGAAGGTTTCAATGAGTTAAAATGTTGGGTTCAAGTCCACAATATTCCATTGAATTGGCTTACATCAGAGGTTGGGCTCAAGGTTGGAAGAGTTTTTAAAAGAGTGTCTAATGTGGTGTTGTGCAACTCCAGTAGCCAGGGGGTAAGATTCGTTAAACTGATGGTGAACATTAACATCAAAGAACCATTGCCTCGATGCGCATCAATCCGATTGGGAGATCAAACGATCACAACATTGTTCAAGTATGAAAGGCTAGTGAGTCTTTGTTTTTATTGTGGGAAAATCGACCATATTGAGAAAGCATGTCTCATGAGAATGGAGGACATTGCCAAGGGACAGCTAAAAGAGGGACAGTTTGGGGAGTGGATGCGAGCCTCTGACAATCTTCAAGGAACACTTTGGAATCAGGAAGTGTCTTCATCAGGAAAAATTAGAAGCTCACCTTCTACTCCGAGTAACATCAACGTGACATCCACAGAAAATGAGGAAGTTTTAAGGGGAGAGTATGAGGGGAGATCAAGTAATGATGATGTAATGAGACAAAGGAGCAAACTCACAGAAAGTCACAAAAGTCAAGAGGTAGTAGCTTACTCCCAGCAAGGAGCTCAACCAAAAATCCTGAATTTCCAAACCAATCAAGTGTTAGAAGTTCCTTTTCTATCAAGGGAAGAGATGAGCTCCAAAGCAGCACTTGCCACAAAAGAGAGAATGGAAGTAGAACAGAGAGGCAAAGAGCTGATAATATATTCCCCAGTAAAAAACACTACAATGGCTAAGGTGGAGCAAAATCAGACTAAGAAGAGGACTTGGACTAGAAACCAAAAGAAGGAAGGAGGAATACTTAGAGAGCCATAAAGGGATACCTCAGGGGGAACAATTGTACCTGCAAAAAGGAGTAGAAATTCAGAGGGCAACACTGATCATACAGAGGAGGCAAAGAGTGGCAACAAGCAGGAAGACAACAAAAAAGTTAAGTTAAGTTCAGTACAGGTGGAGAGGACCAGCCTTGAGTGGTCCTCGACTCACCAATGAAGACACTAGTGTGGAACTGTAGAGGTCTAGGTGGGCCCTCTACAGTTCCCCAGCTCAAGGAATCCATCAGGATCCACCAACCCATTTTCACTTTTCTTTCAGAAATAAAAAAATCTAAACAATTTACTTTGTCTGTTTGTAAAAAGTTGGGTTTTGTTTCTTCTCATTTTATAATAGAACCAAGGGGTTCAAGGGGGGGACTGCTTTTGTTGTGGGATCAGTCCGTCACTATTTTGGATATGTACCGGGATAGTTTTTTCATTGCAGTTAAATATATCTATAAGGAAGATGATAACCCTACTTGGGTTGTTCTTGTTTATCTTAGTACAGTGAAGGCTGAAAGAGAAAGTCAGTGGCAGATACTAATTGAGGAGAAAGCTAAATGGGGAGACAAATGGTTTGCAGCCGGTGATTGGAACGATATATGCCACGGTGAGGAGAAGAAAGGAGGCAGACCAAGGCTAGAGGAAAGTTGCAGGGGCTTTAGAGAGTTCATTAATGCAATGGGAATGCAGGAGATAAGCCAAAGAGGTCAGTTGTATACATGGGGCAATAACCGTGAAGGAGAAGGCTTTGTAGAAGAAAAGCTAGACAGAACGTTTGCTACTCTGGAGTGGATTAATATGCATCCTTCAGCTCAAACAACCTGTTGGTTCAGAAGTTCCTCGGACCATTGTATGTTGGTCATTGAAATGGACAAGAGTGTTCAAAAGCAGAAGAAAAGGTTTATGTTTGACAAGAGATGGATCTCAAGAGAAGGGGTCTCAGATGTGGTGCAAAAAGCTTGGGAGGGGCAAGGGTCAGGAACACCAATGTTAGATGTTAAAGAAAAGGTCAAAAAGGCTAGAGAGGCACTATTAATCTGGAGCAAATATTTCAGAACAGAAAATGCTGACAAAATAAAGACCCTCACACTTTCTCTCGAGGAAATGAGACAGGAAGGTGGAGAAAGAAACTGGGAAGCTTGGGACAGACTGAAAAAAGAATTGGATGCAGCTCATGTCTCGGAAGAACTTTTTTGGCAGCAAAAAGCACGAGTTTTGTGGCTCAAGGAGGGTGATAAAAATTCTAAGTTTTCCATGCCTATACAGTACAAAGAAGAAAGATGAACGCAATTGAAAGACTGGTAGCTGGGGATAACACTATATGTGAGGACCAGAGTGGAATTGAAAATATCATCACTG